CTTGATTTTGTTGGATGCCACTAATTCGTTTCCTCAAGAGAATGATCTTTGCAGTGGGAAAGAATTTCTCTAAGAATGCACGTTTCATACTTTCCCAAGAATTGACAGTTCCGGGGGCCAATTCATACAACCAATCTTTGGCCTTGTCCACAAGGGAGAATGGAAAGGCCTTCATCTTCAAAATGCTCCCATCCACGTTGATGGGTGTCATACTTGAGCAAACTACTTCAAATTCCTTAAGATGTTTGTTAGGATCTTCCATGGACAGCCCATGGAATTTAGGAATATGATGTAATAAACTAGACTTAAGTTCAAATTCTTCCGTCTTACCTTGAGCTGCCGCGGGGTATTGTATGCATAAAGGAACGGCATTGCCCATACCTGAGGCAGAGAGCTCTTTGATGGTTCGATTGTCCACGGCCATGGGTTGTACTTCCTCCACAAACTGTGCCGTGGCCTCTCCTTCCTCCACAAACTGTGCCGTGGCCTCTTCTTCCTCCACAAACTCGGATGTAGAGCTAGAAGACGGTGGGTTAGGGTTTTGTTGATTCTTTTGCTTCCTCAAGGTCCGCTCAAAATCGTCGTCAAAGTCAAGGATGTGCTCACGAACAGGTTTTGAACTCCTAGTCATAAACTAGGACCTAGAAACAAAAACAAAAATAAGGTCAGTAACCAAAACGAAAATATATGAAAAAGAAATAAAAGAATTAACGAGGGATTAGCAAAGTTGCTAATCCCCGGCAACGGCGCCAAAATTTGATGCGAAAATAGTTAAGCACACAAATTAACCCTCTTGTTGTCAAATTGTAGTAAGGATGCAAGTAGGGATCGTTCTAGACTGGGGATTAGGAGGGCTTGCTAATACCTCTAAACTAACTCAAAAACATAAAAACAAAGTTAAAAACGTTCACAAAGACTCAAAGGACTCAAACAAGTTCAAAAGACTCAAAACTGCCTAAAAACACTAACTAGGCAGTTTCTGACCTTAAACACAATTTTGGACGAATTTAAGATTGTAGGTTGATTCAAAACACTTTAAAACACAAACTAAACAGATTCTAAACACTATAGGACAAGAAAATAAAGGGGGGTTTTGATTTGACGAAAATTGAAATAACAAAACAAGTTATAAAACTAGGCAGATTGTAAAACGAATTTCTTGAAAACAAGATGATGGATGGGTTAGTTAAAGGTCCATTCTCCACACATGACACATTTGTATATGAATCAATTCTCCAATTGCTTTCCACTAACTATGATGCTCAACACCCCAAGTTAACCGTGATGCACTAATTAACCCTCAGATTTTCCTTATGTCATTGAATTGGATGATGCATGCGACAATTCAAATTATTCTCCAACGGTCCTCAACATGAATGCATAGAAGAGATACAGTGAGAGATCATTATGCTTTATGAAAATCATAAGTGTTGACGAGGCAATTGTAACTATGAATGCATGATACTCTTGCCAAGAATTCAATTAACGCGGTTGTGACTAGCAACCTTCACTACTCATGTTTATAAACTTGTGACGATTAGGTGAAACTCGTTTATAAACTAGCATCGAGTTCATGCATGAAAACTAAGTATGCATCCTTAATCAACATACAAGAACAAGTTTTGAATAAAACAGATAATTGAATTGCAATCACAACTTAACAAATCACAATTGGAAGAAATCAATTCATATCTCAAACATGTTCATGGCTTCAAACTTTCCCCTAACTAATTAGGGGTTTAGCCACTCATGATTACAGCAAACTCAAAAAGTAATAACAAAGTAAACATTGAAAACAAGAACGAAGTACACCTAAGAACGCTCCAATCTGCAAGCATGAAACGTTCAAGGCCTTTTCCCTCTCCTAATTGCTACGGCACAAGAGGTTATGGTGAGTTTAGGGGGTTATGGATGATCTAGAATGATGGATTTAGGGTTGGGATGGATGTAGGGGACGGCAAGGGTTGGTTTTGGGCAGAAAATATGGAGAATGGTGAAGTATGGATGTGTTAGAGAGATGGAATGAATTTCTGGCGTGAATGGTGAATGAATGACTCCTTTGTGGCTGCAACAAGGATGTTTATTTATAGGATTTCAGGAATTAAAACCCTAGGTTATTTAGGTAATCAGAATTTAAGTCAAAAGCTTTTAGAAATAGGAAATCAAATCAGAAATTTAAAGGAACCCAGCTAAAAGTTGCGGCAATGCATAAAACACAAAAGGAATGTGTTTTAATGCAAGGAAATAGGAAAGAACTATCTCCCTTGCACGGCAAGGAAAAGGAAAGGTCAAGGGAGGTGCGGCTAAGGCTTTTAAGACAAGGATTGTGACGTAATCTTGCAGATTTTGGGAGAGAAAAGAAGTTAAACTCATGGCAAGAAAGGGAAAGGATTTTAAGGCCAGAAATTTGGAGAGAAAAGGAAGGTAAGGTGCGACACAATTTAGGGCATGTGTAGGGCTTCTAGAACATGTGATTTAGGCAACCAACATTATTTGGAAACTTGCACAATTGGAAACCTTTCAAGAATAGAAACTCCCCATAATGGAAACTGGTTTCCAATTCTTGATTCCTCCTTCTTCCTTCGATTCTAGGCTCACTTGGTCTTCAATTTCGTCCAACACTTTGGCTCCAAGCATAAGCTATCCATCTTTAGCCCAAAAGTGCTCCAAAAGGCTCCAAAATGCACTTCTTTGCTCCTTTAGCCCTTAGAACCTGAAAACATACGAAAATGGCTTAAAAGACTTAAAGAACTAAGAAATAACAACGTAAATGCACAAGAACAAGCCAACTAAGTCGCCTAAATATACTCCTATCAAATTCCCCGACACTTAGCTTTTGCTAGTCCTCGAGCAAAACAAAACAAACAAAAGAACACGAAACGAGACAAAACGAACAAAACACAACCTAAACCTTCCACCATTTGCCTCAGGGATTTCCAATGCACATGACATGTTAAAAATCATCATTCCCACAGATTTTGGTCATCTTTACACTTGAGCACATACTTAATCACAGTCACCACTTACTAGTTCACAATTGATCGATTAAAACAACATTTTGAATGTAGTAACATGCCTTAGAGAATTCCCTCAAGTCCTTACTAGATATGCACTCAATTTTCACTCAGATTTTCTAACTACACTCCCTATACTAGTTATATGTGAGAAGATTAATGTAGATATGAAAACTTATACTCACATATGTTTTAACAAAGAAAGCACTTTTCTGGAGTTATAAGTGGTGTGTGGGAAGGTGTGTGTGGCTCCAAACATCCCAACCAAACTCAAAAACTACCAATAAACGTAAAGGAAACGAACTAGGGGCAAAACTGTCTTTTCACGCGTACGTTTTAACATTCCCGGGACGGGCTGTCACAAGTTAGGTCTTGCTGAAGTTTTTCTCAATTGAAAAAACATAGTATTCTTTGTGTTTTCGTAATTAAAATGATTATGCTAATTTTTTTCTTAATTAAAATAATTATGATGCTCAATGTTGGCCTTTTTTTTTATTTTTTATTTTTTATTTTTTGGGCTTAAGCATGACTTAAGTGATTTCGGATTGGCCTCATCAAAGGACAAATCAAGAAAGATTGATAATTGATTAATTCCAGGGTTTGTCTCTCTGTCTATTTATTTTATTTTATTTTATGTGTCTATTATTTAGATTTCGAGAATCAATCCCAGGGGTTTTGTGTAAGTCTTGATTTTATTACCATTTGAGTCGTGTTTAAACTGAAGTTGGCCACTGATCTCGTATGCTTACCATTTGAATCATGTTACACACTGTTAGTATTTACAACACAAAATTATTAGAGATGTGCGTCAAAACATAGAGAAGTATTCTTAGCACTCTAACAAATTTATAATCCGAGTAAATATTCATATTCGTGAATCAAAGTTGAGTAGCTTTTTGAGCTTAACCTAATTGCGAATTCATGAAATCTTTTGGTGGGAGCGTATAACACCACCATCTACCTACTTTAGCCGCCTTGAGACAATTTATATATCGAAACTGAGTTTTAAGCAAGAAAGTGCACACAGTAGACCGAAAGAGGATGTTGTCCGATGTAGAAGACAATGCTTTGAGGGTTTTCGACAATTGAAACCATATACACAGCCCAAAGAAGACACCTAATGCGCCATTTCCTATCCCTAAGTTTATAGAAAGTCATTACTTGTAATTCGAGGATTAGCAAAGTTGGTGAAGAAGGACTCGTCACCGGAGGGGGAGTAGGTGATCTACACTAGAACTTACTTCACCTTTAGTAGCGAGACTTTTTTCCTCCCCAATTTTATCACAAAAGAGATCAATATACATGTTACTACAAAGTTGGAAGGACTACTGTGGACATGTTACCGCTTACATTTTGACATTCAAATGTGTAATCATACATTTTGTGTGTTTGATTGATCAACAGTTTTGAGTCATTGTATTACAAAATACATGAGCTTCAAAATATAAATTTTACCAACATTGTATTCCATCCAATGACAATATAAGAAAAGTGACATGATTTTGTTGGGGAAGTAAAAATTAAACCCATTGGGTTTTTGATGGGTTTCCAATGTGTTATATATGATGGTGGTAAAGGTGGTGGTATACGCACGCTCCTAATTAAATAATATTGATATTGGTATTGTGTAATTTAGCTTACTATAGCAGTATTAAAATAAATAGGTACATACCGTCATTAAATACTTGTTTGATAGGTTTAATTTTTATCCTTTAAATTGAATAAGTCAAAAAAAGAGAAATGAACCTAAATAAACAAAAATATACGAAAAATAAACGAGCATGCGAAAATCATTTTTCTATGAATCTCACTCACTCCCAATCACGAATGGGCCGAGTTCGACTCAGCCTCTGTGGGCTTTGTTTTCCAAATAGATAATATCATTTTGTTAGAGAAAAGCCCATCACTTATTTATGAGGCCTAAAATCTGATCCAACTCTAGAACCCATTCGATTAGAAAATCTGGACGCCCAGTAGAAGAGCACCAAATTACTTTCTCGGGTTCCGATAGAGAGAAGAAAGCCTGCAATTGAAGCACGCAATCGGGTTCTGCGTCCCATCGCCGTCTTCTATCAGCCTCCACTCTTCCTGTATTGCCTCTGCCTCTGCAAAACAAGTACTGAAGCACTCATGGGTCTCTCCAAGGAACAGTTGCTTGCCCGCTTAAAGGTGTCACCTTCTCTGTCTCTCCAAAGAACAGTTGCTTTCTATTAAATTTGATCTGGGTTTTCTTTGTTTTGTTTCAGAATTCAAAATTCTAGGGAAATTTCAATTCTTTATGTTTATGTGATCTGGGTATTCTTTGTTTGTGAAGGATATTGAAAGTTGTTATTACAATTCATGCCTTTCCTTTAACCATCATAACAAATCTATAGCTTGGAGTGGTATCTATACATACTTGTTGTTGATTGAAGGTCTTTCGTAATTCTTGATGCAGCAACTATTCTGGGGCTTATATATTGATTTGCATTTGCTTTAGCTTGTGAACTAAAAAGTTATTTTACCGCATTTCGCATATAAGCCATCGATGACATTACACTTAAGCGAAAAACTCTTCAAACCCAATGCCTTAGAGAAGTATTCTACTGATTTATGGGAGAAGGGCACCGAAGGAATTCTGACCTAAGAATCAATTAGAACATGACAAGTGGATAGCATAGGGTATTTTTTTACCCCCTCTCCAATTGAGCTTGTATGTGTTTTTGTATAAAACTTATACTTAGGTGTTTTTTTTTTTTTTTCTCTCTAATTTATTAAAAAAAAAAAATTTCTAAGCCTAGAATGTACGTGCATTTCTGAGTTTGGCCATGGTTTCGAATTTTACTGGTGCATCTCTTTAATTTCCTGAAACTAACCTATTCTGTTGGCTTTATTAGGAGCTACAAGTCGATTTTTCCCACCATGAACATCCTGTTGTTCTGACAGTTGAAGCTCAGGTAAAAGAAGATAGAAGAATATGAGAATAAGTTATGTTCTATCTTTTTTTGTTGATTAGATAGATGCATGTCCTGAAGCAAGAATATGTTTTTTTTTTTCATCAGGCCAAATATGTTGGACATCTGGGAGGTGGACTAAGTAAAAATTTATTCCTGAAGGTATCGTATTCTGGCAGTTTCGGAAACAGCATTTACATTGCATAATACTAAATTCTGCTGTTTTTTTTTTTTTTATTTTCCCATTTTTCACCATGTGGCTGCTTTTTCTTTTATCAATGCAGGACAAGAAAAGTAGGTTCTACATTGTTTCCGCTTTGGCAGATACTAAAGTAGATCTGAAAGGTATGCATGCACTCCTAATTCTGGTCACTCTGTTATGTATTAGTGTTTAGAAACGTCACAAATGATTGGCTTTTGAGCTGTCATGTAAATGGTTCTTGCTTTATGTATCGTTTGGAATTTTGGAGTTTGTATGAATACTTATGAGTTTTATCCACAACTTGAAAGCTGAGCAGTTCTGTCTGTGAGGCTTGGTTTGGGAAAAGGTGGCTTGAGAATGGCTCCTGAAGAAGCACTTGGAGAAATACTTCAGGTTGGCATATGCTACTACTCTGTATTCTGACCATTCAAACTAATTAGATCCGATGTTAATTCTTTGATTACTGATAATCTTTTGGCATTTTACCTGATACTTTCAAAATTAATGGACTATATTTCATATGTTTATAAAAAACACAAAACAGATTATGCTATTTTAAAAAATGTTGTATATGTGACCCTTCTGATTCTGATTCTGTTTCTTGTTGCAAGGTGCCTCTGGGATGTGTTACTCCATTTTCTCTGGTGAATGAATCTGCACGGTATACATTTCTCTTTTATTTAGTTAAGATATTCAAATAAATAATTGGTTTTCTTAATTTTCTAATCATGCGTTATAAGTAGTTACTCATTCCCTCGAACTTAATTACTTTACTTATCTTTTGAAATGATTTAAATCAGTTACTCCTTATCATGTAATTGATGCTCTTTACCCTATGTTTTTCACATTTGATCAACAACCAACTGAATAGTTCTGACCATTTTGATGTTACGGAAAAGTAAATTGTCACCATCCTTTTTAGGTGGTGGAAACAATTATATTTTCACCAGAATTCATGTTGTTTAGCCTGTACATTTTGATACTGTAATCCTTTTCCTTTCATATGTATTTTTCTTCTGTGAATTCTCTTATACTTATTCTGCCTTCTTTTCTTTTCATGAAGCCATGTCTCTCTGTTGTTGGATCAAAAATTTAAAAGTCAGGAGTGGTGCTTCTTCCACCCTTTGTCAAATGACATGTCGATCTGTAAGTGATAAGTGTTTCAATGATAGGAAATGATATATTTGTCTCTTCGGTTGAAAATTCTGTGTGTGTACTTAAAATTCTCCTGAGGTTTTATGTTGCTTAATAGTTTAGCTGTGGATTCGTCATTTTTATAAACCTCAAACATGACTTTTATCTGTATAGTCTTATCTAGAATTTGTGTTCTCATGGGTATAAGCATAATGTTACAAGTTAATTGCTCACAATTACCTTGAGAAATTGTTGTCATTTGGGATATGTTTGGAATATTATAGGCAAAGAATCACCACTTTCAATTGTAAAGTCTCTGCTTTTCTTATCATATTACTTTACTTGGTTGAACAATAATGTCTTTGGAAGCATGATTGTGCCAATAATTCTAGAGCTATGGAATTTTGGTAACACAGTATACAGAATCAGTGTTACGCTATAAGTTTAGTGATGTATTATCAACGAAGACTATACAGGTGTGCATCTCATTGTATGCATGCACGCTTGTGTTTCTGTGGATTAGTGTGTTTAATCAGGCATCAATTGTTGAGAGTTCCTGGAATAATAAGACCAGACATCTTGTTACTAAGTTATTGAACAATGTTAATAAGAAAGCACCACGAATGATAAGGCTCTTGAGTTGGACATGCATTGATATTTTGGCAGCTTTAGTGGAGGAATTGGAAAATGTTGTGAATGATTTAAAATAATCAAGATAGAAGAATTTTTTAATTTTTTTGAGAAGAATAAGATAGAAGAATATTACCCCTCGCTTTCTCGTCTAGAGAATTTCAATTTTCTAAAACTCTTAAAATAGGGGTGTGCTATCCACACACCCCATTATACTTCTCACACACCCCTTAATAATTTATGTCTGTTGATCTTCTTCAATTCATCCGATCCAACGGCCGAAAATTAAAAAGGTGTGTGAGAAGTAGAACAGGGTGTGTGGATATCACACCCCTTAAAATATGTGGACTAACATTTTATATTTCAATAATATTATATTTGAGAACAATGCTAAATAATTGGATGTTATCTTAAAGTGTTATGCGTGCATGTTTGTGCATGCCTGACATGAGCCTTTAGATTCTCTGTAATGGCTTTTGTTTTGTTTGTAATATCTTGTCTATTCTGCAACTGAACAAATTCATACTTGATTTATGATTTTCATCCTTGAAAAGAATTTACATTGCTATCATTATATGTGTGTCAACATTTTAGTTTCTTACTCAAAAAGGCTGTGTTGTTTGTCAAGATTTTTCAGTTTTCTTGTATCTTTTATTGACTAAGTTTATAATCATGTCCCTCCCGCATCTTAGTTAAAAATTGTGTACTGCAATCGCTATACATATTTTTGTATGTTATCGTTCTCAATGAGTTCACCCGTGATCCTTGTCAATATTTGCCGTTTCCAGCACTTAGTACCCATGATCTTGACAAGTTTCTAAAATCAATTGGGAGAGACCCCTCATATGTTGACTTGGAGGTAATGAAAATTAAGTTTGTCAACCAAAATTCAAGGAAGACTATAGACCATTTTGTCAAACCTTATTTGTCTCATGCAGGCTAACCCATCAGTTGGAAAGGATCAACCACCTGATCTTGCATGCTTTGTTCCATCTGATTCCACGGTGTTGCCAGACCCTCCACAATCAGCAGCTTCCTCTAAAGGTCATGCAGAAATTCAAATTTCTGTCTCTAACAAATCGACAGCAAGTACAGGTACTATTATGTGAAAGTGAACTCAGTGCAGATAAATATAAATAGAAATAGAATGAGAGTTGATTCCACGATAAATTTTCCTAATATAATTCTGTGATAAGTAATTTTCGTCCTCATAAGTTGCAATGATGTTGTGGTACTTTCTACAATTAACTAGCTCGTTTATGGTTAATTTTTCATAGAGAGATTAGGATTTTTCTTGTTTGGGAATTGTCAACGTGGGGCCTTCCTGTTTTGTTATTCTCGTTAACCAAGAAAATATTCTTTCGTGATGCAGTCTCTTCTAAGCCATCCAGTAGTGCAAAAAGTGCTAAGGACAAACAGGTCAATGGTGTGAATGTGTCGAAGACCGTAGCAGATGTTGGAAGTTTGGTTGAAGATTTACTCGATAGAACATCTTCTCTATTGCTTTCAGAGGTTAGTACAATAAACGCTTCTCTCCAGTTTCAACTTTAACAGTTGTTTGGTCGGCTCATGAAGTCGAGTCATACAGATCACTGAGGAGACCATTAAGAAACATGAAGGACAATTGGGAACTAAGGTATCAGATAGTATCAGAAGCCGACTTCGAGAAGATTTCGAGAGAACACTTGTAAGCGTTTTACACTTCTGGTTGAATGTTTGATCATGAAGCATTTATTATTTAGTTATTAAAGAGCTATTAGTGTGTATGTTCATTACCGTCATTACTCATTAGTCTACATCTTCTCAGAAGATTTTGAAACAATTGTTCGAATCCGTAATCACAAGATCATTTTTATTGCAGATGATATTTAAATCCACCGCATATACCGAAGGGTTTTCTGCTGGCAAGCACCATCATCCACACCGTACATATTGACGAGTGTGTGAGTTCATTCTCCCCTTCTCCGTCGCAAGAGAGTGCAGAATCAAGTTCCAACTTTGTATCAATTTTATGCTCTGCTATATTTTGAACACTTATCTGCATTTGATAGAACAGGTACGTGGCCATTTAAACATTATGAGATGCTTCCTTTCTAAAATTAATGTTTTCGTTTATGCTTCTTTTCGTGTTTACGATTAATGAATGCTGGCAACAAAATCTGGCTAGTGCATTTGACTTATTACTCCGGCACATCGGTATGTTGTCTTCCGATTACAGAACGGCTTATCTGTAGGATTATGACATGAATTTATGATTAAGTGTTTATGTACATACAATTATTTACATAAGCATAAGACATTAACAGTATCCGACAAATAGTATCGGAACATTAGAAACAGTATTTTGGTGGAAGGTTTAAGGTTTTGCTGCGGCGTTGAGTGCCGATTGTTATCTGAAGGACCAGATTGCCGCTGCAGAATGTCATCACGGTTAAAACACGAACAGCTTTTAACCAAATGTTGATCAAGCTTTCTGTGTTGTAATTTCCTGCTTAACTTAGAGATAGAAATGAGCGTATGATAGAGGGATGGAGAGGAATAATAGCCAACGTAACGGCATCTGGCGTAATTAACAGGGCTATATTAAGGGCTAAAGAATATTGCAAGAACACCACCATGGATCACCTGCATCAAAATTCAGAGTTATTACTAAACGAAATAGTTCACGTCGTTGGGTGAACAGAGTACGAGATGAATGTCGCTAAACGAAATGGTTATTAACTCGAAGAAATTGAAGTTGCAATGGTATTATTAATTGTTGTGGTGGGAAGAGGTACAATGCTTTAAACTAAAAATATATGTAATACAAATCAATCACTGTTATCACAATTATGTATAAAATTCATAACAAGTAACAATTTAACACTAACCAGCTCCAGAAGTGGAAGCAGCACTACCACCTTGTGGCTCGATTCGACGATACCTTGCTCGAGATGGCCACAATGATCCCAACCGACTCGCCTTCCACGCCTCTCTCCGCCACTATTTGAGCCCCCCGACTCGTCCAATCCACCACCAGATACCGCAATCTCGACCCGGCAGACCGGGCAAGTGTTGTGAAGCCTCAGCCACGGAATAATACAATCGCTGTGGTATATGTGATTGCATGGCAACTCCCTCGCCTCTCCACCAACCTTAAACTCCTCCATGCAAACTGGGCAGCAGGAGTCGTTGATCAAATGGGCCTCGCTTATTTCACACGGTTGGTATTGCGTTGATTGCTGATTCTGGTACTGGAGGCGGGCCGGGCCTGTCGTTTTGAGTTAATTCCTCGATCAGTCCTTGAAGGCCCGGCCCAAACAAATAGTCTCCTAGAGTGACTCCACGTGGAACGGGCAGCATTGGGTTTTCAGGTGATTGGGAAGTGGGTCCCACGGGATTAGAGGGATTATCGACGGGTCGGACAATAATCCAAGTCCTGGGACGGTTTCGAGTACGGGGTTCGGGTTCTAGTTCCCGGTTTTCTCCACCATCAAAGCTACGGTTGTGCCGCCGCCGCCGTCTCCTGTTTGTCCACAAATCTCGAACTTCAGGTTCTGTTACAAAGCAATGTATCAAATATCAAAGAAAAGTCTTGCAAATTCATATGGACTGTTTGGCTTCTTAAACTGTAAGAGCCAAAACATCATTATTAATCATACTTTGACACATACCAAAATATTTCATTCAAATAATAAAACAAAAGAACTTTATGCATATGTGTCAAAATTTAATTTGTCAGCAAGAAGGAATGACTCGTTGGAACAAATATGTTCCTAAGAACAAAAAATTTTAAGCCGTGAAAAAATTTATTGATGGAGCAAGATTTTCATAGTTAATGATTACCATTGAATTTGTTGGCGTTGGCTATTTGGTCGGTATTCATAACATCGATAGAAATATATATACATATATATATATATATCCATAATGTAAGAACAACTATAAATTAACTCTCAAAATTCAAGAGCACGCACCTATACCTGTTCCCCCGCCCTCATGCTCATGGTGGCGTCGTCCTCCGGGATCAGCCTCTGGGTCAAATAATCCACGGTTAAAAGGTCCCATGAACGGGTCGAACATGAGGGAAAGTGCTTCCAGCAGACGAGCTTCTGGGGATGGATCGAAACTGGTGTAGTCTACGAGCAGTCTAGGCCTAATCGACATGTCAAACTCGGAGAGAAACTGCCCGAAACAACGAGGGCAGACTATCTCTGATGGGCTGTTGGAGGCAATCTGCACCGTCCGATTGCAGTGGTAGCACCAGTAGAGCTGGTACGGTGGTGTGGTGCCGTCGTCAATGTTAATGTCTCTCGAACGAGTTGGACTCGATGACATGTTTAGTTTTGGGAGCTTGAAAAATATTGACGATTCCGATCCATGTTTAGGGTTTTATTACGAAAGACTACGATGGAGAAATGATGGAAGCGAAAACAAAGAATGGCTTTTGGGGTACACAAAGCAATCCTCTTTCTTTCTATTTCTGCATTCTGGTTTGCATCTAAAGTTTCCTTTGTGGGTTTGTAGGGTTTCACTCCATTTCGTTTTGACAAAGAAAGGGATGAGTGAGCTATTGGGTAACATGCATGCATGCAATGAAACATATGAGGTTTCGTAGTCCGAGAGTATATTCTTGATGGAGAAACATTGCATCCACCCTATGGCTGCGCTACCTTGTTCATTCGTTTGCGGTTAATGTATATTTAAGGAAAACTAATCAAAAGAGGTTCAAAACTTTAAATCTTAACCAAAAATATTTTAGTAACTTTATTTAATTACTGCCTAGGACAAAATCCAACATAAAAACTTTGTACATAATATATATAATATAATACATTTATAAGACCTATACATACATATATTATCCTCATAATTTTTGTTATGATAATTATTATTCAAGGGCTCTAACAGTAAGTACGAATATAAGTGCAATTAGGAGGATTATATGGAATGAAATTAAGGTGATGATAACAATATTAGTGTCACATCCCGGCCCCGGGGGGACCACTTCCCGGGCCCGCTCCACTACCGTAGCACGATATTGTCCACTTTGGGTCCCGACCACGCCCTCACGGTTTTGTTTCTTGGAACTCAGACGAGAACTTCCCGATGGGTCACCCATCCTGGGAATGCTCTCACGCGCTACTCGCTTAACTTCGGAGTTCCTATGGAACTCGAAGCCAGTGAGTTCCCAAAAGGCCTCGTGCTAGGTAGAGATGAGAATATACATTTAAGGATCACTCCTCTGGGCGATGTGGGATGTCACAATCCACCCCCCTTAGGGGCCCGACGTCCTCGTCGGCACACACGCGGCCAGGGTTAGGCTCTGATACCAAATGTCACATCCCAGCCTCGGGGGGACCACTTCCCGGGCCCGCACACACGCGGCCAGGGTTAGGCTCTGATACCAAATGTCACATCCCAGCCTCGGGGGGACCACTTCCCGGGCCCGCTCCACTACCGTAGCACGATAAAGTTATTGGAGTGCTTTTGGTTAAGAAAAAAAAAATTTAGAAAAGTATTTTTCATTAAAACTCCCAAATTTTTAATAATTTATAATTAGGACAGTTATTTTTTCTTAATCATTGTTCAAACATCATCCATGTAAGAAATCCATTAAATTTGATATTGTTAAGTCAATTTATAAGTATCAAATAAATAGACAATTTATCATAAAGTTGTTCATTGATGCTAAAACTTTCAAATAATTAAAACTTTTGATTTGTTCGATACATATAAATAAGTGAACAATTTTTTATTTGATTGATTACATAAATGATTCTTTTAAGAACATGATTAAGAAAATGAACAATTTCAATTATGAAATTTGTGTGGTATGGATGAATAAGATGGTGCATCCATGGAATTGATGCACAAATTTTTCATTCTTTAATTTGACGGTCAGATAATAATTGTATTAAATACATATAAGAAGCAACTTTATTTTTTTTTTCTCCATAGTATTGTAGTCAATCTGTAAATTTGAAGGGAACATGGAATTTTTATTGTTTGGTCCTATTGTTTTATGTTTTATGTTTATTTTAGGGAGGTTTTGTGTACATCCAATTTTAGTCCTTGAACACTATTGTTTTTAAGGAAAACTAACGAAAAGTACCAAAAAAAAAAAAAAAAAAAAAACTTTAGTTTTAATGAAAAATGACAAATAAAGGTATAGTGAATAGTACCTATGAAAGGTAAAAATGTGATTTTTCGTTAAAATTGAACATTACCGGGAATATTTTGTTAAAACTCCCTTGTTTTTAATACTCAATTTACTCTCACATATTTCTTTGGTCACCCAAAATAATTTACTAAACTTTCAAAAATATATATATATATATATATATTTTTTTTTATGAAGTTATTTTCTCTGAACACCCATTTTTCATTTTCTTTGAACACCCAGTTTTCTTGTATTAATTATTAAGGCTTTCACATAATTTTCTCGCCTCTTTTTGTTTCCCTTTTTTATTTCTTTATTTCACAGTACATAGAAATTATACTTTTGGGCTCTGAGTTTCTCAGGAAAAAAAGTTATCATTGTAGAAGTAAAGGTTTTGATGAATTGAAATTGGGTTTTTTTACGTTTGGGAAATTTTTTGATGGAAAAGATGATTGGGTTACGATGGAAAGAATAAAACCAGGGTTTAGAGGTTGATGATTTGTCGAGAGAGAAGAGTGTTGCGGCAGGGAGGAGAAGGTTGATGTTCTTGGGAGTCGCTGGTAATGCCGATGGCGGAACAAGCGGTGTGGATGGTGTTTGGTTGGGTTGATAAGTTGCGTCGTTGCGCTTCTAGGCGATTAAAATGTAAATACAGTTAGCGTACTACTCAAATAATTTTCTTAAATCCTAAAGTCCATGCGTACTAACCCCGTTCGATGCCTTGGAGCACTACCTTAAAAATGCGTTGCACCCAGCCATTTAATCAAGTGAACAGTAATTAGACCCATAAAAATAGGAGCCAAATGCATCTCTACCTCTCAAAATGCTGTCTTGCACCGCTATGTCCCTACAAACGTTGGCACATTTCATTTAAATAGTTATTATTTTTTTCCAATAGGGTAATGTCCGTTTTTCCTCTCAAATTTGTATGTCTGTGCAACCGCACACATTACATTCAATTCCACAAATATTGTCTTCCACATAGATAACTTGTTACAAACAATCTTTATGTTTAAAGGTGTGGTTTTGGTTTTTTTTTTTTTTTTTTTTTTTGCTGAATTGGTAATTTATTTTAAAACTTAAGAAAAAAGAAAAAGAAAAAGGAAACAAAACGTCACTGGGCCAGTCTTCCGCCGTTCATCCTCACCCTCCTTTCCCCCTTCGTCCTTCCTCTCCAGTGATTTTTCAGCAATGAGAAATCGACTTCTTCAACAGTGAGAAATCAACTTCTTTTCCAAACCTACCACCATAGACAAATAGACCCACGACCAAGGATCTCTCCTAACCCATAAACCCCCTCCTCACCTAACGCCACCTGAACCCGACCAAGATCATCCTACTTCCAATTCAAATTTGGTTATGCACTCTAAGGTTGTATGGCTCGGATCTAGCGCGGTGATGAAGATGAAGAAGGCAACGATGTTCTTCATGGCGTGTCGGTGTACATCAAGAGCTCGATGAGCCCTAATTACAATGGTGGTTGTTGTTGGGATTGTGGTTGCAGAGTCTAACAAAGAAGACGACGAAGGGGTCTTCTGGTGGTGCCGGGAAACCAGAAACTAGAGAACGAAGTGAGACACGGTAGAAGCTAGCTAGTGACGTCATGCTGACGCCAACGTGACGTCACATGGTCCAGCATATTTTGGGCCGGCCTAGAAGCTGGCTTGGGCTGGGTGCCAGCCTATTTGGATCGGCTGGAGCATTTTTTAGGTAGGCTGGCATGTTTTATAGGCTTTTAGCTGGCCTACCCCAATGGGGTAGAGTTGCTCTAAGGTAGATGATAATGAGAAGATATTTATAGAAAAGTAAAAACAATTTTTTTTACAATTTTTTTCAGATTTTTCAGATATTTTTTTGAATTTTTTACAATTTTTTTTAAATTTTTATTCAATTAATTAATCTCTGCCGTTGGATATAAAAAAATTTGAATTCCAACACTCCAGATTGTGCCACGTGTCACAACGGTAACTTTTCAGATTTTTAAAACTATTTTTTCATTTATTTTTTAATTTATAAAGCATTTTAATATCCACCGTTGATCTCAGATCGAACGGTGGATATTAAATCTGACTTTTTTTTTTTTTTTTACCGTTGAGATCTAACGGTCCACATTAAGTGACCGTTAAGATCTAACGCACCGTGGGAAGCCACGTGGCTTCCCAACGGTAACTGACGGATTCTTTTTTTTCTGATTTTTGTGTCGGCGACGCGCCCCCACGCGCCGGTGGGGTGCACGCGCCTGACACAAAAAAAATTAAATAATGCGCTGACGCCACCCTTGCGTCACCCCCACCTCGGGCTCAAGGGCTGGCAATCCCTCACGGGCCCGGAGCTCGGGCCTCCCCCATCCACCGGGCTCCCCCATGCTGGAGCGACGCCACCGGCCCTCGGGCCATTGTTTTGGACCCCTTCCCCCGAGCAAAACCCCACACTGGGGATGCTCTTATAGTTTTAGAGCGACTGTTTACACACTTTCGCGGGCCAATGTAGCAGATCATAAAAAAACTTTTGAATATGAGTTTAAATTGTTATAAAAAGGATGTAAGAGTCTTTTTCTTTTAAATAAAATTGATGGGTATCTAAAAACGAAACTTAGGTATACAAAAAAACCTCCCCGTTTTAATTATATGGGCCAGATCATAGGGCTTAACTTAAAAACGAAACTTAAGATTGTTTGAATAACCAGCCCAAAAATGAGATATGAAATGATAACTCAGCCCCATCGACCAAAATTTGTTTAATGATCACATTATTCGGTGGAAAACTAACAATTACAAGTCATTGATCACATCCACGAGATAAAAGTGACTACAATTATGAAACCAAGGAAGATTTCAAATGAAGAAAACAATGTTATAATTAGTGATTTGAGGTCAGATTATAAAGTTGCACCGTCATGACTGACTCACTCTTCAAACCTTTACTTTCTTTTAAATAACTAATTAACTCATGATCTTGTGCATGTATCATTGCCCTTAGTTCAATTTTTATTTTTATTTTTTATATAACGGTATATTTACATTTAAGAGGTAAAAATTAAAACTAAGTCATATAACATCCTAGTTATAATAATTTGATATCTCAAATTTGTCATTCACTGAAGTGGAATTTTAAACTTTTCGCTTATGAAATAGGGAGATAGAATACCAATTCACTATACTAATATTTATTTCCTCTACTTGTTTAATTGTTTCAATGAAAATATACATGTATGATGAAATTC